AGGTGGATCTGTGCTGCCACGCCCCTTGTGAACAAGATTGCTTCTGCCTGCTCAATCTCAAACAAATGACACCGGCTGCTCACCTCACGGTGCTTTCTTCCTTCGCCAATGGTTTCCCTCAGCTTCCAAAGTGCGGCCGTGCTCATAGACTTGCATCAAGTTGGCCAAATTTGGATGCTGGGTCGTGCACAGGACGGCTCTCTCTTGGAGAGGCGGTCGCTAAAAAGGATTCTCCGGCCGCTGAGCGGTCCGGCGGGAAGCGATCTCCGGGCGTCACCAATGAATTCCGATCAGACACATCCACATCCAGTGCCACGCAAAGCCTTGGCCTCAGGTCTATGGACCCCTGGTCGTTCCCTGCATGATTTGTAAAACCAGAAACAAACTCTCCCTCTCTTTCTTGTATTCATATATATATATATATATGGGTTTGCATTTTTTACGGCAGCCGGGCAGGAAGGTTTGAGTACGGGGTATGATTCGCAGGTATGATTCGCGGGTATGATTCGGCGTACGATTCGGGGGTATGATTCGCGGAAGCAGCAGCCGCAGCAGTAGTCAGTCGTAGTAGCAGTAGTCGTCGAAGTAGTAGTACTAGTAGTAGTAGTACTAGTAGTAGTAGTAGTAGTAGTAGTAGTAGTAGTAGTAGTAGTAATAGTAGTAGTAGTACTAGTAGCAGTAGTAGTAGTTGTCGTAGTAGTAGTAGTAGCAGTAGAAGCAGCGGCTGTAGTGGCGCGGAAGCTTTGAAAACACTTGGCGCTAGCCTTGGCAAGGGAAGCTCATTGTGCGGGTATGATTCGGGTATGATTCGTGGGTATGAACTCAGAATGATGGATGGTAGTGAGTAGTAGCAGTAGTAGTAGTTGTAGTAGTAGTAGTAGTAGTAACGGTAGTAGTCGTAGTAGTAGTAGTAGTAGTAGTCGTAGTAGTAGTACTACTACTAGTTAGTAGTAGTAAAGGTAGCAGAAGCAGAAGTAGAAGCAGTAGAGTAGTGGTAGCAGCGGTAGTAGCGGCGGTAGTGGTAGTGGTAGTATCGTAGTCGCGGTAGAAGCAGTACTAGCCGTGGTAGTAGTAGTAGTAGTAGTAGTAGTAGTAGTAAAGGTAGTAGTCGTAGTAGTAGTAGTAGTAGTAGTAGTGGTAGTAGTAGTAGTAGTAGCACAAGTAGTAGTAGCACAAGTAGTAGTAGCACAAGTAGTAGTAGCACAAGTAGTAGTAGCACAAGTAGTAGTAGCACAAGTAGTAGCAGTATTAGTAGTAGGTAGCGCTGGTGGTGGTGGTTGTGGAGGCAATAAACAACACAAACGGTAGAAGAAAAGTAGCATCTTGCAGCATACATTTCAAGGGGTATGATTCGGGGCATGATTCGGGGATAGGATCGGGGGTATGATAAGGGGTATGATTCGGGGCATGATTCGGGGATAGGATCGGGGGTATGATTCGGGGAGGTCCCACCTTCTGCCTTTTGAAGCAACTCAACACAACAAAAAGACAAACCCATATATATATATATATATATTTATATCTATATAATGTATACATTTACGTTGTCCGCTTGTCCACAAACACATGCGGAACATGAGCCAGGTTGGGGAGACGAAGCGGTGCAGGCGAGGTACAAGACGCAGTAATGGGCCTCAAGGTGGTTGGCGCTTGGGTCTCAGTCAGATCCGAGTAGGATATGCTTGTCCCGATCGGAAGCTCGCCGAAGCTGGTGTTGATCGCGATGATCATTTGCACTGCATTTGGCGGGATTTCGGCCTCCACTCTCAAGGAGTAGGCGGTTGGGGCGCAGCATGCATAGAGCATGTCACTCCTTGGGACATAGCCCAATGTAGGGCCCAGCTGTAGGCCACACTCATCTGCGAAGAACAGCCGATAGGCATGCACTCCGTCCACTGGCATGAGACCACTGGAGTGCGCCTCCCCAAACTGAAGTGTGCCAGTCAGAAAGCCCGGCCGAGGGTCGGTGTCGATCAGCGCAGACGACCTGCAGATCTCGCACTTGACTTTGCAAGCCCCGGACTCCCAAGTCGCGGGTCGGCTCGCGTCGGTGTTGCCACTTGGGCCTTAGGGTATCAGATTTGGCTGTGGGTCAAAAATGGGTACCCTAAAACCCTGGTAAATGGAACCCATGACTAAAACAGGCCTTTTCCTGGTGGTTTGATTTTGACCCACACCCATGTGTTCTCAAAAGCCACATGCAAATTCACGGCAAATGGGGAGGTAGCTCTGAAGTACCTGGCCAATGCATCCGGGGCACAGCTGAAGAGCAGAGGGCCGCCGGAAATACATTGGGATGGGGCGCACTGTGCCTCGCAGGTCTCTCCTGCTGGGATGTTCTGGCAATCTGCTGGATCGCTAAGGTAGGCAGCGTCCGGGGCGGCGCAGCTGTACACCGGCACGCATCCGGCGAGCGTCACGTCCATCCTGCAGGCTTCATCGATGGCACAGCTGGCTTTGGCGTCGCCTGTCCAGTCTGCTGCGCATTGCCAGCGCCCACCATCCACATTCCTACCGAGGGCAGAGTAGGTTCGCACCAGTTCCCCCCTTTGGATTGCAAAATTCAGTCCGCTATTTTAAGCCATCCTGCCAAATGAGTTGATGTTGAAAAAATGCTTAAGCCAAGAAAAGCAAGCCAGCATAGACCCCCAGAATATCAAAAGCCACCCCACTCCCAGTGCAACACCTGCAATCACCCTGCACCAGCTTTGTTGCACCTGGGAATCCCATGCCTTTCTGGAGAAACCCTTGTGATGGCTTTTTCGTGGCACCTGCCGACGAGCTCATACCCAGACTGCGGTGGACCCGGGGTGCAGTGGCAGGCCAACTCTTCGTCCAGCTGCACGCGGAAGGAAGCGTTGCTGTTGTCCATGGGGCATCTGCCAATCGCCTCCCCACCGTCAAAGCCGTCCCTGCAAGGCTCGGCACGACAAAAGAAACGGGTTGAACACGCGCAAGCAGCATTGTAACGATGCAAACAAATTTGAAAGCCGGCCGGCCGTGGTCGCCTTGTGCTTCACTCTTAAACCGGACGGTGGTTTGTTCTGCCGATAAGCACGATGGTTCCATGGGTATTTGATTTGTTTGTTTATTGACTCCGGACCTACCATCCCCCACGCTTTTCAAGACAAATGTGACTGTGACTTGCTATCTTTCCCAGTGCATCACCCATCAAAAACCTTGGGGCTGCGAGGCCAGTCAAGAAGGGCACAGGATGGAGCCGCAACCCGTAAACCCCACCCTAGCTCTGGCTTCGACCAAAGTTCGAAAAAAATCTCAAAGTCCCCGGTTTCACGCAACCTCCTTCTCCCCCACTGGACTCCAGAATCCCAAGCCAAAGCTCCGCTCAAACCCCCTCCTCCACCCTCAAACCCCAAGGCCATCGCCTGCAGCCCATGATGCAAAACTCCCCCGGGCCCAGGTCCGAGCAGTTCCCCAGGTCCACTCGGCACAAATCCACCAGAGGAGTCGCACAGGGCACCAGCATGGCGCAGCCCTCGAAGTGCCAATAGGCCTCTCCCCACGCGGCATCCGAGCGTCCGGACAACACAAAAAAAAAACTCCGTCTCCCCCGGGAAAAAAAGGAGAAAGAATAATGTTGATGGAAACGTCCGTGGGTATTTAGTTTGTGGGTGGTTGGTAGTGCTAGTGGGTAGATGGCACAGCTGTCTTTTCCTGCTTGTTGTTTTGGCGGGGTTGTATCACTGGTTCCAAGTCACACAACCTTCAACTTTGAAGTTGTAGTAGTTCGGCTCGTGATGCACAAAATGTTAGGCACATGGCATCCTTGGGGTAAGGGAGGATCGATACAGCCGGGTTCTGCCTTTGGGCTCAAAGTCGATGTGTTGTCTTCCCCGAAAGTCGTGAGACATTGCTTTGCCGGCAATGGGCCAAGGATGTGAGAGCACCTTGTGAAAGAACCAAAAAAAGCAAAAACGCTTGAGGATGCTGAAAAGAACATTTCAACATGGGCAACATGAGAGATCCCAAGCAATTGGCTTTACCAAGCAGCCAACCAACCAAAAAACGACCAACCGACCGACCGGCCAACCAAGCGACCAAGCGACCGACCGACCGACCGACCGACCGACCAAGCAAGCAAGCAGGAAAAAACAACAGACCTCAACAAAAGTCAGCCTGGTCATGTGAAATCATCACCTCAACACGAGTATCTCGGGTAGCACCCAAAAAGCACTGCTCTTGTCGCCTGGCACTCTGCAGTGATGCGGCACTCCACCGAGGCCGCGCCCACAGCTCCCTCTGCGCAAATGATGCCACCCTCAGCACGTCGGTCGAAGCAACCCCCAAAACGAAGCAACGCGTCCCGTCAAATCGTGGCTTGCAGTTGGGTTCCCATACACCAGGAGGGCCTCACAGCCCCAATCCATGTCCGCATCTGCAGGGTCTAAGGATTGGGTTCAATGCAGACTGTTAGGGTTTAGGATTTTAGGAAAAATGCCAACCAAGCTTGCAAGGGGGATGAGGGACCCTGAGCTCTCGATAGCCCCAAAGTACACATGAATTCGCCACACTTCCCTGCAGATCTTCCTTACTCCAAGAGCAAAAGGAGATGCTTTGGCGAAAAAACGCAAACACGAGGCTGGCAGCTGGCAAAACCGAAGGCTTCGATGGCGCCTCGGTCATCGTGTAGTTAGCAGGGACTACCAGCGGTGGGCACACCAGGGAGCACTCCGGCACCTGCAACGGAACTCCAGGATCCCTGTTGGCAAAACTACAAAAGAGGACCCCTTGCGGAACCCAAGGATTAGAAACTACCTTTGAATAGCCCAGTTTTCTGTTGCTTCCGTACTTCTCCCGTTTCGCTTTGTGGGATGCGTGTTGTTGCCAATTGGATGGAGGGATTTAGGTCCTTGCTATCTAAGCGCTTCTTGTGTGCCAAGACTGGGCCGGTTTGTGAGATGGTCAGCTCATGTCAGCGCCGTTCAAAACACAACCCCTGGAAGAGCCCTGAAGTAGTTTAACGCCAAAGGTTCTAAGTAGTAGTGATAGTACTGAAGAAGGACATAATTTAATCTGAATGTTTTTATTGACTAATATGATCGTGATAAAGTTAATTGCAAAGGAATTTGGCTTTGAATGTCTAGTTCGATTCGGAATTTAAGTAGGAATCTCTTTCCAAGTATGTTTTTGCGCAAGGTGAACTGCGGTTTGAATGGAATATGTTTATCTTTTTGGCTGAAAAACAATACTACAAAGGTAGCTCGGGGGGGTGAGCATGTATAAATATGTATACATATAATTATTGGTATATGTATTGTGTCATAAATTCAAGTACATCAGGTCCCCGTCACAAACCCGTGCAGGAAGGCGAGAAAGGAAATCTCAGTGACCAGCACAAGCTGTGCATTGCCTGTCTGTTGAAGCTGCCAGTCAGCACTTTTCGGCGCTTGACATCCACGGCTGGGCAACAAAACTTGAGAAACAGTTGTCTGCCCTGAAACCCTCTTCTTCCTCCCCTTCCCCAACCCCCCAATCGTTTTCATCCCCAAGCCCTCAAATTCCCTCAAGCCTTGAGCCCCCCTAAGCCAGCCCGTGCCTCGAAGTCCGGGAAGCGGCTGGGGTCGATGTTGGGATCCGGGCAGCTGGCCACCGAGGAGTTGCCCTCGTAGGGCCACCGGCACCCGATCTCGCAGCGCGCCCCCGGCGCCAAAACGCCACAGTCGGAGAACTGGCACTGGTCCAAGCCTATCTGAAAGGCAGCAAAAATGGTGATGGACACATCTGAGATCATTCACCGGACACAAGAAATCCCTATGGGATAAAGCCTTTACACAAAATCCGAAAGGCAGCAAACAAATCTTTGCAGCGATTTTTTCAGCACTCGGTTCTTCTGGTGTTAAATGGACAAATCGGACAAAGGGTCATTCACTGGACACAAGAAATCCCGATGGGATACTCGTGAGCTCCTGTTTGCCGGTGAGCTCGTTACCGTTAAATAATACTGTTCAAAGCATCACCCCAACGTAAAGGATGTCATCAAACACACACACAGTCCAAAAAGCAGTCGTCCTTTTGATGTCCTTTCGGGTAAAGACATACCCCAAAAGCTGAGGGTTCAAATCCCCAAACCACCCATCCAAATCAACAATGTAAGGGCAATTAACCTGAAACCAGGCATCCCTCCAAACAACAAAACAAATAGGTGTGTCTTTGTTTGAGGCTACCCCTGTCTTGCGGTTTTAATGGGACACCAAAAAGATCGCCGCCCATATTTTGGGGGAGTCCCCCCCAAATGAAAATGAAACATCCAGATGCATCTGTCTCGCCAAGCTTCCGAGCGCCAGGCACGGCACATTCTCGTCGCAGCCGGTGAGCTGCAGCCGGGGGGGGCCGCAGTTGGGGCTCAGGGCGCAAGTGGCCACAGCGCGGCCCACGAAGTTCGGCGCACAGCTCCAGGAGCCTACAGAAACTATGAAGGGCTTTTTGTGTTGTTTTGTCTTGAAGCTATGGTGTTTGTTTCTTTGCTTGAAATAGAGGAAGAAAAGCGTGGGTTTAGGGATTGTTCCATGCGAAACAATCGCACTGGCATTCAAAACAAGCAGAATTGCGCCAATGAGATTGCCAGCAAATACAAAAGATACGCGAAGGGCAATGCTTGAAAGCTAGGCTTTGTCAAATGTGTGCCGTTGCTGTGATAGGAAGCTCTTGCCCCAAATAAAGAACTAGCCATCGGGCATGCTTTCCAGCGGAGGAAGTGGGGCTGGGCTGCCGAAGATACTTGCGTCTATGACATATGTGTGTGTGTGCGCACGTGTAGAGGCTGGTGCCCTCAGTCGAAAGGGACGATATCACGAGGGCATGGTTCAGGGAGCTCTTCAGTTTTCATTGCAAGGACACCAGCACATTCGATTAACATCTTGGAACACTGCAAACCAGTACAACTGTTTGCACAAAAAGAGACACATTGCTATTTGCGGCTTGCGGTGGCTTGAAGAACCAGTGTCGTTGCTGGTCCCTACGTACGTGTACCCAGGCGGAGGGTCCGGCATGGGGCACGTGAGGCTGCAGCGCTCGGCGTCAAAGGAAAGACCTTGGCCAGGAATCGTATTGCCTGCTGGGCAGACCGCCGGGAAGTCTGCGCCGTGATAAGGAGCCTTGCACCTCGCCTCGCAGCGCGTTCTAGGAAAAGAAGCAGCTGTTGCTGCTGTGTGCAACTGCTGCTGTTGTTCCTGTTGTTACTGTTGTTACTGTTGTTACTGTTGTTACTGTTGTTACTGTTGTTCATGCTGCTGTTGCTATTGTTGCTGTTGTTGCTGCTGTGGTTCTTGCTGTTGCTGTTGCTGTTGCGTTGCTGTTGTTGCTGCTGTGGCACCCACAAACGTTTGGAAAGCCCTCATGAGTGTTACATGAACCAAAACGTCCAAAAAGGTGTTCGGTACATGAACCAAAAAGGGTTTCGGTTTAAGCGTGTTTGTTTGGACAGATTCCCACCTGGCACGAGGCGCCAGGGGGCACCGGATCCGCGCACTGAGCAAAGTCGAAGCGGCAGGGGTCGAAGCTCGGCACCACGCAGTCCTCTTCCCGCGCGCAGCCCGTCAAAGTCAAGTGCGGATGACAGTCGTCGTCCACGTCGCAGAGGGCGCGCGCCTTCCCGTCGTAGCCCGGAGCACAGTGCCATCCACAGGAATCCTTGACGTAGCCCGGGGGAACGGGATCAGGAGCTGCGCACTGCGTGCTACACTCGGGCTCAACCCACTCCAACACCGTGCCCAAGTCCACATTGTCCGGCTTGCAGAATGCCTTGCCTGGCTCACCCACAAAGGGATGGACACAGTGAACATCACAGAACTGCCCAGATGGTGTCATCTCACAATCTGTAAAGTTGTACCTGCAGGTATCCCTTTTGCTGAGTCTAGGTACGGAACAGGGCTGCAAGGGGATACACCCTGACAACTCCAGCGTGCCACCACACTCATCAGACTGTACGCACTTGGTCGACGTTGATCCTCGGTAGCCGTCTGTACAGCGCCAGATACCGACATCATAGCCCTTGGGCAGGGGGTTCTCACTGGCCCACTCGTCCGCCGTCGCACAGGTGTACTCGCCGCAGTAGATGTCCAATGAAGGAGAGAAGTAGGGGACCGTGTTTGCGGGCGGGCATTGCGAGTCGGAGATGTTCTGATTGAAGCCCTCTCTGCAGGTGATGTTGCAGACCTCGCCGGGCTCCAAAGGTCCCTGGCAGTTCGTAAAGTCCAGCTTGCAGAGATCGTAGTCGTCCACCTGCGGCCGATCACAAGGAGCCAAGGGATAGCATCCCGTCAGCACCACCTGGTGAGTGCATGTGGTGGTGTCGATGTCGCATCTGTAGTTCGCAGTGCCCAAAAAACCTTCGGCGCACCGGTACTCATCTTTGCCCATATGCATATAGCCCTCAGGAACTGGGAGAGGTACAGGGCAGTAGCACACCGGTGCAGCCCAGTTGATGATTCTTGTTGGGTCGATGTTTGTGGCTGGACATCCGGCACCCAGTTTGTCGCCTATAAACGGCAGTGCGCAATAGACCGTGCAAACTTCTCCAGGCTGCACAGCCTCGCAGTTGCCGCTCGCGATATCCAGCATGCAACTTTGTATCGGCGTCAGGTCTGGCGGAGCGCAGGGGACGTACGGTGAGCAGCCGAAAAGTCGGGGAAAGGAGACACATGAGGCTGGGTCCACGACGCACTCTGACCAAATGGCGCCAGGTCCATTGAAGCCCTCAGCACATTGCCAGGCCCCAAGTACGTTGCGATATCCGTACTGCGATGAGGGCTCAGCACAGCCCAGGATGCACCTCGGAGGTGACCAAACGGCTGCCGTGGGATCAATGTTGCGATCCCTGCAGGCGATGGAGCCACCGGGCTCGCCCAACGGGGTCATGTAAGGGGGCTTGCACTGCACCTCGCAAGAGGTGCCGGCCGCTAAGGAGCTGGGGCATGCAGAAACGTCGTGCTGGCAGGCGTCGATCTCTGGGAGATTGCAGGGAGCCGTTGGAAAGCAGCCGGTGATGATCAGCTCAGGCTCGCAGGTGGAGGCATTGACGATGCACTCCGCCGAAGCCTCCCCACTGTAGCCCAGGCCGGAATCGCAAAGCCACACTCCCGTCAGCAAATAGCCCTCCGGGATGGGCTCGGGCAAGGCACACTCCACGTCGCAGTCGATGGCCCACTCTCCCAGCTCGGTGCCCCAAAGGGGCTGCTGGAACAGCCGCGTGGTGCTTCCGGGGCAATAAGCCCAGGTGGCATTCTCCCCTTGGCCCCCCGTGTATGGCTCGGCGCAGGTGATGTTGCAGCCTTGCCCCGGCTGGAGCGCCTGGCATTGCGAGACATTGGTTCGGCAGGTGTCGTTGACCATCAAGGGCGCGCACTGCACTGTTTGGGTGCACCCGCCGATCACCAGCTCAGACCTGCACTTCCCCGGCTCAGTGCCCATGGGGCTGCAGTACGCCTCCACTTCGCCGATGTAACCCTCGTCGCAGACCCAGCCGCAGGGCGTCTCCGTATACCCAGGGGGGGCTGCTACGCCGCAGGGCTTCAGCGCGCAAATCGGCTCCATGAAAATGAGGTTGCCCTGCGGATCCGTGTTGTCGGATGGACAGTAAGCCACAGTCGGCTTGCCCGAATAGTCCGAGCCGCAGCGGATCGTGCAATTGCCACCTGGCGCCACAGATTGGCAGTCGGAAAAATCGAACATGCAGAAGTCATCCGCGTCATCGCGAATTCGTTGGAGGGCGCCCGGGCCCATCCCAGGTTTGGGTGCCGCACAAGGCACCACCGCCTTGCACCCCGAGAAGGAATAGGTGGGATTGCAGCTGTCCGAGAAGTCCGCAGCGCAGCGCGTGTCCGGATTGCCCGTGTAGTTCTGCGCGCACATGAACCGGCTCTTGACGTAGCCCACCGGGTCCTCTGGGTCCTTGCCTCACAAGGGAAACCCTTTTGTAACTTTGGCCCTTTGCCGTAACAAGAATGGACCGCAACTCCGAAAAGGCCAAACACAAGGGGTCTAGTCAGTCAAAGGGATGATCAAGGTGAAACAAGGTCTCTGAAGTTCAGAGCCGAGATGCAAGTCAACGTGCAGCCCGGGAAGGTCCACTCCAAGGGCGTGGTGGGATCCACGTTGCCCTCAGGACAGGTGGCCTCTGTGACGTTGCCGGTGAAGCTGGGGCCGCACGCCAACTCGCAGCTGCTTCCGGCGAAAACGCTTTGGCAGGCGGACCAGTCCAAGGAGCAGGGGGTGTTTTCCGGCACTGCGCAGGTGGTTTGAGGAACGCAGCCCTGAAACTCGAAGGCCGCCTGGCATCCATCGCCGATCCGGCAGGTCACTGTTGGAAATCCTTCGAAGTACGGAGCACACGCCCACAGCTGCTTGCCTGAGGGCTCAGTTCCAGCTGTGACATAGCCAGTTGGTATTGGATCTGGCATTGGACACTCCAGGTTGCAGTCTGGCGCGGCCCAAATCAACTGCCTTCCCACCAGAGTGTTGTTTGGGGGGCACTCGGCATTTGCAACTCCGCCCACATACGGAGGTCTGCATGTGACCTCGCAGGAGTCTCCAGACCGTACAGAGATGCATGTATGCTGGAAAGCACACAGCTCTCCAGAGGACAGGACCGGCGCATCGCAGGGCACCAGGGCGTTGCAGCCGGAAAATTGGAGCTGTGGATTGCAATTGGCGTCGGTCCCGCAGGTCACCCTGGGAAAGCCCGCATATCCAAAAACGCATTGCCAGCCACCATAGACTCGCTCGTAGGGGTGGGACAGGTAGCCGACCGGGACGTCTGCTGCCCCGCAGTTGATGTCGCAATTGGGCCTTTCCCAGTCGAGCTGGCGGAGGGGGTCCGTGTTTCCGGCTGGGCAGCTGGCATTGGTGGAGTTGCCCCGGTAGGGGGACTTGCAGTGGACCTTGCAAAAGCTTCCAGGGGCCGCAGAGTCCCCGATGCACTCCGTGAAGTCGTAGACGCAGGGGTCCTCCACGGGCAGAATGCAGCGGGCCAGCAAGGAGCAGCCGGAGAGCACCTTCTTGGACGCGCACACGGAGTCGATGACACACTCCCACATCGCCTCACCCCCATAGCCCGGAGCGCAGGCCCAGCCGTTCCCAAAGGACACCTTGATGTAGCCATCCGGCTCGTTGGGGGGGTCCTCGCACGTCAAGGTGCACTGGGGCTCCACCACCAACAAGCCCACCTCCGGATTCACATTGTCCGGCCGGCACACGGCCACACTGGACCAGCCCGTGTAGGGGAACCGGCAGCTCACCTGTCAGCTGAATATCTGCAACTGATTGGGGGCAACGAAAATTGATGGAAACGCATTGGGAATTATTAAAAACTGTGAGACACACAGGGATGCCTGGCAAGAGCCGCCAGGCTCGATCTCTGCACATCGCGTGACGTCCAGCACACATCCAATCAGATTGATGGGCGGAGCACAGGCAGTTGTTCTCTCGCAGCCGAAGAACTGCAAGGTGCTTTGGCAGTTCTCATCTGGAACACATCTGGCAGTTGCTGTCCCGGCATAGCCCGGCGCACACTCCCAACCCGGTCCATCCAACAATCTCTGGTATGCCTCCGGTATCTCTCCCTCTGGACAGTCACTGGCAAACAAATCGCAATCCGGCGCCGTCAATTCCTGAGTCGGATGCGGTGCGATGCCGACAGTTACAACAATCAAGCCTATGCTCCTGCCAACACTTGACATCTGATCCACTCTCCATTGGTCCATCCGCTCGTTTCTCCCTCCCGGGGGCATCACCAACAAGAAGCTCTCCAAAACTCAAGAAAACCAAATCCAGGTGTGAACCAGCTTAAGTGAGTCCAGAAATCAACCTAAGGGAAAACCCGGTTTCAAAAGGTCCCATCCTCAGTGCAGTTGGCTCCCCTATGATTGTCACGCCTTCCCCGCCTTCCCCAGTCATCCGAGTCGCAGTTTTAAAAAAGAGGTCGGTGTTCCCCGGTGGACAGGTCGCCAACGCCGGGTCTCCCCGGAAGGGGCTGCGGCAAGCCACCGGGCAACTTGTGCCCGCAGGCACCGTCTCGCCACAAGCAGATGTGTCAAATCTGGCGGCATGAGAGCTGGCAATGTGACATTTTTGTTGAGGGCTGCTTTACCTAAAGGCAAGCCAAAATCGATGCCATCTTGGGGGCCGGATGCCTAGTTTAAGATACATTCCAAAGATGCACCTGCACTGGTCAGCATTGCTCAGCTCCATGAGTTGACATGGCACTCCGCATGTCATCGCAGGGCCTCGGCTCACATCTTCTTCATTTCCTTTCAATCTTCTGTTGGGAACCCGAGGTCCTTGCCAATGTCATCTTTCTCCACAACGCCCGGGCACGTTTGTGCCAAAGGCCTTGTTCAACGCGCCAACCCCAAACAAGACATCGCGAAACCGCGACATTGCCTCGCCAGCAACAGGCACAAGACCCTCCAAGCGACCATCCACGACCTAAGTTAAATCAACGTCAACTGTGCACACAAACCCGAAGCCAGCCGGGTCTCTGGCGTTCATCCAAAAGAACGACCTCAGGAGAAAGCATCGATGCTTGATGCACCTGGATATGATGGTGAAAGGTCGCTCTTGATCCGCTCGACAACTATGCAGCACGACTTAGGCACCTGTCCTCGCAAAGCCTGGTAGATTCACAAACTACGAACAAAGTTCATTCACAACTCTGGGATATGATTCTCTGAGGAATCCTAGTTACAAGTGTCAGAATTTCTTGCTGAACTGATTCCTTTCCCCAGTCCGTCTGCACGCGCGCCCAAAGTCCAAGGACGCTAGGCTTCAGAGGCCCAGGCTGAACACTCCCGAGGCGCTCGCTGCGTATCGGGATTTTCCGCTTAAGCTTCCGTTTCCGCTATCTCTCTTGGAACTCACAGGTTTGAAGGCAAAAGGACTTGACATCCTCAAAGGGGTCTGAAACGCATGCTTTGCTTCATGCTCAGTTCACACCCCCCTTGAGCTGCGAATTGTGCTGCACAAACTGTTCCACGAAAAAAAGCAAACCTCTTGCACATGCCAGCTCTGCTCGTACATTGCTCGAACATGGCTCGAGATCTCACAGTTCACTTTGTGGCCGTTTATGCCTGCAGTCACACCATTGGCATGGACTAGAATGGCCCGACTCTGCCCAACGCTGCATACTGTGATGTCTTGTGAAGGTCAGCTGTGCCGAAACGCTGAGCAAATTCTGGGGGAGTTCTGAAAGAGTTGCAGCCTTGTTGCAGGCTTTGAGCCACGCAGCAAAAAAAACACCTGGGAGTTAAAACTCCGCGCTTGATGCCATTCGCGCTGGCAAAGTTGAAGCCAGCCATGTTCTTCAACTACTCATGAATGGGATCAACCCCTTCCTGCCTTGCTCCAAGGCGTCCAACACCTGCGCCGCAGTCTGCTTGGCTCTGTTGCCACTTCGCCTTTTCGTCCCATGCGTTTACTTGCCAAATTGCCTTGCTCTTCAAACTCCAATTCGTGGAAGATGAACTTGAATCATCAAATTGCAGATGCCGGGATGCTGGGATCCAACTGCTCCTTTCCCACCAGATCTGACTCCCATCTCCATGCAGGGATGGTCATGGCAGTCACATCCAGTCTCAGCCCCGAGTCCCAATTGGACGATCTTGATGTGGATCAGCTGACGCAAGGGCCACACTGGATCAGATGAGTTCCCGGCTGCTCCAAGCTCTAATGAGACGAAACGAGGGCTTCGGCATGCCCAGTTCACCCACCCCGGCGGATTTCGCTACAGCTTCAGTGCAAAACGCTGGAAGACGTGCCAGGTCTGAGTTTACATTGCTCGAACATGGCTCGAAACCTGTCTGATCTCACAGTCCACCTTCGGACATTCACTTCATCAAAATGTTGATTGCGATTCTAGATATTCCGAAAGGGCATCGGCTCATCCTCCAAGAAGGCAAACGTGCCGTCGGCAACACACAACCTCCGCCCATGACAACAATTGCGAGAACCACATCGACGCCGACTCGGGGGGGGCCGCTCTGCAGGAGCCTAGTGTCAACCTCTTCGGACAGCATCCCGGCCGAAGTGCTCGTTGACTTCAACATGTGGTCCTTCTCATCTCAAGACACAAATAGTGGCCACTGGAGCAATGGGGCGCCTCATACATCACGACATCCCTGTACGATATATCCTGACATCACCAGAGAACCCAAAGGGGCGCAGGGGACGAGCCCTGCAGCCGGATCGCCTTTCAATAGGTCAAGTAATGTCATCCGGGAGGACTAGCAGCCGCATGCCTGCGTTCCACGTCTGGGCTGCCCTGGTGTTCGGCGCCAACATCTTTGCAAAGCATTCTCAGCACTGGTAACATGAACTCAGCTGCACCCCCGCCCACCTTAGGACCCTAAGCGGCGGATTGCATACAACCTAAACCAGATCAAAGACCTCTAGAGCCTTGCAGCAGGCTTTAGCAGGCTGACAAACACAAGGCATATCTGGCAACCTTGAAAGCCTTTTCTACTTCCATGTCGACATGGCTTCTCACGTGGCATCCGTGACGAACACATCTTCTCACGTCTGGCAAAGCAGAATGCTTGGCCGAGACGTGTCTGACGTGTCGCGTTCTCATACATCCCACCAGATCAGCCGTGTGCCTCACCTGTGTTCACCGTTGTGAGGCATGACAGTGAAACATGCAAAGGCTTGACTGCCGGGATCGCCAGGCTCAATTCCCAAATGCGCGGACCTATTGACAGAATGAAGCAACCTATTGGCAGGTCCCGCAGTCACTTCTTTGTGTGAAACTCCAGTCACCAGTCACTCCGCACAGCTTGATGACTTTCGCATTGGCAAAACTGAAGCCAGCAAGCATTCTGTTGCCCTCGCGAATTGATGAAGCTGGTCATGGGATATGCTTTTGCTGATGTGTCCAAAGTCGCAAGTGTCCCAAGACCCATGCCTCACTTGCACTCACGCCTGTACTTGTGAATGCGCTGCTGCATTTATCTCTGAGAAGCCTGCAATTGGTTAGATCCCCATGCTCGTGTTCTTTGAGGGGACCGTGTACAAGCATCTCGACGATGCGCTCTTTAACGCGTTGCACGGATGACTGTGGCGTTGGACACCTGCGCAGCAATCAATCAGCCCTGCGCTGAATCGCTGAACATGTTTTTGCGGCTCCCGGAGGCGCAGGGCTCGTTTCAACCATAGGCGTCCTTTTTGTGAAAATACATGGCCCTGGTAGTTGATTGAACCACCAGGTGAACCAGGAATCGCCCTCAAGTTTCCACCAAATCAATCAAAAAGGACACCTACGACTCGTTTCGACGCGCTTCGACGCGCTTCGACGCGTTTCAACTCGACACTTCGAGCCCGCTCCGCGCCTGGGCCGTTTCACACGGCCCTCCGCAGCTTGGAATGCGCCTCGCTGAGCAACTGCCGCGTGCGGCAGGCCGGCAGGTCCTCACTGCCCGCTGCTTTGGCGCCAATCTGCCCCCCCCCCCCAATCTTGCTAACATGTTGCCTTCCTGTTTTATTAAGAAAGCATAAACCCCCCATCCCTTACCGCCCCCCCCCCTTGAGACATGCTATAGCACTGCTATTGGAGTGTTATAACACTGTCAAAGTATTTGGCTCCCAAAGGGCTCCCCACTGACTGGCGGCACGACAAGCCCTGGAAAATGACACCCACCACTACGCTCATGCTCGTCCCCCTCGCACCCCTTCCTTCCCCGTCCCCTGCCCTTCCCGTCCGCTCCCCCGAAGCTTCAGAAGTCCGTAAGTCTTCCGCAAGGCTTCCGGAAGCTTCCAGAAGCTTCCGGAAGCTTCCGGAAGCCTTGCGGAAGCTTCCGGAAGCCTTGGGGAAGCTTCCGGAAGCTTCGGGAAAAGGGGGGGGAGGGGGGGACCACCCTTGTTTCAATCTCCCCCCCTTTTTCCCGAAGCTTCCCAAAGGCTTCCGGAAGCTTCCGCAAGGCTTCCGGAAGCTTCCCCAAGGCTTTCGGGAAGCTTCCCACCTATTTGGCCCAAAGCAGGGGGGGAGTAAAGGGGGGGGGGTTGTGGCTTCTTAATTGTACAGCTTTCCGAACTTGTATGAATTTGTGGAGTTCCATTTTGAGACACGAATCTTCAGATTCCAAAATGAGGCATCAATCATCGGCTTTCAAATTTAGCTTTTTTGCCCATGGCAGGGCAACTTCTTCTTTGTGAAGACCTGTGCATGAATGCTCCACTTAAAGACTTCCAGCTTGGGATCAGAATGGGGTCCCATTCATGGCAACAACAAGGACCGCTGTGAGCGCTGTCTTTGCATCTGCCAACTAGAACATGGATTGATATGCCCCGTGATCCGCCGCCCCCAACTCCCCAACTCCCCAACTCCAACCGGAGGGTGGGGCCGGCGATTACAATCAGCGATTTCAGAAATGGTCACAGTCAAAATGTGCCCAATGTACCCCGACTAGGCACTGATGTCTTCAGATGTCTTCAGCCTCGACATTCTAAACACCAAGATATGCCAAGATACAAAGAGGACATTCGAACACCCCGTGACTTCGACTTTTTGTCTACCTAGCCAAATCAAGTACGAACTCCCACAATGGCCAGGCTGTCATGGTCTGAAATCCCGCTGATAACATTCCTATCATGCTTTGACCACCGCACCAAAGCACTTGTCTCCTTCACCGCAAGTTGCAGCAGCCGTGAAACCTGGCCCAATTCAAATTCTTTGAAGACAAAAACAAGCAGCAGATCTGTCAAACGACGCGCACAACATACACTCCGCTTTTCATGCGTGCAACTGACTGCAACATGGATATCATTCTGCAGTCCTCTGTTAAAGAACATGGCAGGTTCCGAATGCAAGCGTATTTTGGTTGCGCACGACTTGTCATGCGATGTCATTCCAGGCATGCCTATCAACTGTTTCCCGTCTTGCAAATGCGGGGCACGTTGCTCTGTGAAAACATCAGGCAGCATAGCAGGGGGAGAACAGGGTGCCGTGATGCTTTTCAAGCTGATCAGGGCACGAGGACCCGGAGAGCCGGGCGAGTGTCGGTGCCGAGCTGGGCTTCTGGGCAGTTCGCTGGTTGGTTTTTGAAAGGTGCTGGAGGGGCAAGCTGTTGCCAATGAAGGGCCATGTTTGGCGATCCTTGGCCTTCAACGTGCGTGGGCGAGTGTCAGAGGGCAGCTTCGAATTCGACGGGGAGCCCGGCTCGGGGGTCGCTGAAGATCCTGGGCGCAAGCGTACCAAGCGTTGCACCTGGGCTCGGCGTTCTCAGCAAGAAAGAATCCGGACGCGTACATGAGGGTCGGCCGGTGATGCAAACTGGCCAAAGCGCCAGAAGCGGATCTCCAAACTCGACATGTGTGGCGGCATGGGGTGGCATGGACTTTGCAAGCTGGAAAATGCTTCTCACGAGTGGGCCGCCCAAAAGCTTGGGCAGTCACTGACTCCAAAGGATTGCAGGGGCCTCCGAGTTGGGAGGACGTTGCACTGCGACTCGATGCATTAATGAGACGGGCAGGGCCCAGGAGCTGAAAAAAGCAAGTAAAGGCTGAGTCGGCATCAGGTTTGAAGACAGCGAGCTACCAAATGCAGTGCCCGACACTGACAGGGTTTGAGCAGCCGCAAGCAGAATTGGCTGCAAGGGCTGCCTCGTTCGGCTGTCTCCAGCGACATGCGACATTGGCAGCTGCAGGTCGAAGAGTTGGCGGAGGATGAGGAACAAGGTGTTCACTCCAGTGGGAACTGTATACGAATCAACTGCTTGCAGCCAGCTTGCATCTTAGGCTTAGGGCTGCAAGACGCACGACAAGCGAAGCAGAAAACTGACATGCGTTTCGGCAGGTGAACATCACTTGGTCTCCACTGCCAAGAAGCGGTCCACCCTCAGACGATTTGTCGTCCACCCCCGCTTCCGTCACAACCCATGTCGCGCGGCTCAAGCCCATGGCTTAGCCCCTCTGAAGCCAGCCCCTAAGATGGTCAGACGGCCTCCACAGACAGCCAGGACCGTCCTCTGGATTCCAGTCCCTAGAACCGGTCAGACTCCTTCGCGGAACCGGTCAAAACCTGCCGTCATTCGCCCTAGACTTGGTGGCTCCAGCCTCAGCTTGGTAAGTCTCGCCCAAGCACCCCCGCCCAGCCCCTTGCCTCAGACTGCTCTCGTTCTAGCCCTGGAAGCCATGTGAAATCGCGCGAACATGCACACACCATATATCTTGGAAACCAGCTCACACAATTCAGCGCCGACTCACTCACTCAAACAAACACACACTTCAAGGCAAACCAAAACACAGTACCTCAAAGCCAACCAAAAGAATACTGGCCGAGGCGGGCAGCGGGAAGCCTTTACAATAAGTACCTTCATACACACAAGACATGTATACAGGAATAATCAGCAAAATGCAGATTTTGCTTTATGATCTGACGCTTCTCATTGTTTTGTTCATCTTTTTCTACAGGGGGTAGTTGATGTGATCTGGGAGTGGTGAGAAGGGGGTGTCCACTCAAAGAGGCCTTCAAGGACGAATCGGCCCAAATCTACCGCTTGCGCCAACCATTTTTGTGAGCCGCATGTGAAAGCCATTGAGCAGCTCCCACAACCCATTGACTTTGGATATAGGCCTTACTGTAGTCCCTGTCAAGACCAGATGGAACCTGCTTCTTCCATGGCCAATGTGTCAATGAGGGTTTTGGGCGCTGCTCAATTGTCAACTACCAGGTGACAACTTCAATTGGTCAATCATTAGCGAGCCGCAGGTAATTATCGGTGTTCCGGGAATTCAAGCCCCTGAGCGGGCTCAACGTCAACTAACAGACCAACAAATTAAATGAGTCCAGGCCAAGGCAACCAGGGCTAGAGGATGAGGTGGTCGATAAATGAAAAGACGGAAAGTGGTCATGGAGAATCTTCTCATACCTCGTGCTCGCTGTCACGTGGGAGCTAGATGGGCCGAGATTGCAACGGCACGTGGTCTGAAGCAGCATTCGCAACAGCATTCAACCCTGAAAATTGGAGAAGCGGACCTGGGGAAAGAACAGCAGCAGTGCAAGCTGATATCATGCTACCCGACGTTCGCATTGGGAGGGCGAGGAAGTGGCAGGTGGGAAGGCGAGAACACGGCCAGGACAGCTGCAAATAAGGCAAGACCAGAGTTGGACAATTCCAAATCTATACATCCAAAATTTCATCGTGTTCAGCTACAGGGGCAACCTGTGGATCGCACAGGCCCATGCGTGTTCCTCAAGCAGAGCGGGAGCTGGGAATCCAAACCGCACTCCAACGGGACAGTGCGCGCTGTGCACACAAGCTGCACCGCCATTGGAAACTGCATAGCAACGCCGGGTAAACACAAAGGTGGTACCTGCAAAGCACTCTCTCCAGCGCCACTTTGCCAGATCTACTTTCACGTAACTGCATTCGCCGAAATCTGATGAACCAAGAATCTGATGTGCAAACTTAGGTGACTGGGACTGCCGAGGTCATGATGGGTTCTGGAGTTGGTTGGATTCTCAACATGCAAATTCAAGTCCTCACAGTGTTCACAACCTCCTGAGCAACGATGTCCTTTAAAATGTGGGAACCTTCATTGGATTCCTTGGTGGCGTTCTTTTCAAACGGGCTCCTGGGTTTGCTGGGCCAAAGCGTGCGGCTCAATGAGGCTCTGGCGCGCTCGTACTGCCCTTCGCCAAGCTGGGCTCTGCCCATGACCGATTGAACTGCCTGGATCCAAGTCAGGCCCGTCCACAGTCAACGGAAAGCTTTGGGCCATCTTCGGTTTTCCCTCCAATGCATGCTGAAATCTCTGGCCTGGGCGAGCAAAGCCTTCACTTGCTCGCAGCACTTCCAAGTTTGCACCTTTGCAAATGTGGCGCTGGCGATGACCACTCCAGAACCGCGCGATTCGAAAGGCCTTGGTGATCATGTCCGAAAGGAGGTCCCCGGCACAAAAGAATTGTGCCGCCTAAAACGTTTTGACCAACGATCAACTGCCAGCGCGGCGTAGAAAACTGGGCGCTTCAAGAAGGCAACTCCTGAAACTTC